GCCAGGGGGCGCCCCCGGGCCGCCGCCGCTCCCCGCGGCGCGGGACCCGGAGCGAGGCGGCAAAGCGGCGCGGGGAAAGGGCGCGCTCCGCTCCCGGCCGGGAGGCTCTGCCCGCGGCTGCCCGGAGCGCTTAGCCCCTCGTCTGCACCCAGCTGGGCGCGTAAGGCGCTGAGACCTCCTCTCTCTGCCCCCGCTCCCAGCTGGAAACGATGAATGAATATATCAGCACCTCTGGATGCAAGACGACGGCACAAGCTGCTTCTGGTAACCACTGAGCTCCGGTACTCGGCTTCCCAGCTGCTCCCTTTTCACTTGTGGCTCTGAGCCCCCAGGCAGGTACCTGCATCAGCTGGCAGTGCTAGAGGGGGCGAAAGGATGAAGTCCTTGAAGCTGCCATGAAGCAATGGCTAGTGTAGGATGGCAGCAGATTAGGACTCAGATTGGTGCTTTGGATGTGAACTCCCAGCATAGCAGATTTGGTAGGATTCCTTCCTCCTGCGTCCCTCTGCTGCCTGTAATCGCTTGGGTGACAGGGGTGGTGCAGTACAGCCTGCCAGCTGTACCGTACTGAGGGCTTGAAGAACGTGCTGGAGGGACTGCAAGGGGAAGTGCTGCAGAGTGAAACCACGAAACAAACCCCCCTCAGATGTGCGCTAAGAAACAGGACTGCCCCTTTTGCACCTTCTGCTTGCGCTGCTCTACACCAGAGTGCAGCACGTGGCCTCCAAGGATATCCTGCCCTAGGGCCATGCTCCTCCCAGCGCACCTCCCGCCTTTTCTTCCTCCCTGTGCTGCCTCCGGTTTGTCAGCTAGTGCCACGGCCAGGAAACAGGATCCAGTCACGCTTTCCCACCCCATCACCGCAGGACTGTAAGTAGGCAGAAAGCCYGAGCACATGGCCTAGAAATGCCTTCCTCTGTGGGAGGAAGGAGCTGCTCGCACAACATTTTAACAGATAGCAGCACCAATTGTCAGTTCTTCCAGGCAAAGAGAGTAGGAACCAGCAAGCACATTAGCCAGCTACCTGGAAAGCTGCGCTTGCTAGCCCTGGAAAGCTTGGTCTTCCCACATCTGGTACTGGAATGCAGCCATCCATATAAACCCCCAACCCCACCACAGCAGGCGTTACCAGCCCAGGGCCTAAAGATAAGCAGTAAAGATAAGAAGTTCCTTCTCTGGAGATCTTCCMAACCTGCCTGGATGCCACCCAGTGCCACGTGCTCTGGGTGTCCCTGCTCAAGCAGGGGAGTTGGACTAGATGATCTCTAGAGGTTCCTTCCAACCTCAACCATTCCGTGATTAAGTAACAGGAGAGAAGATGCTTGGTGGATTCCAGGCACAGCCTGTGACAGCAAGATGCACACTGCACCTACGCAGTAACTGTTAGGGGAAGTGGAGGAGAGCTACTCCCCACAGCCACCTATCCGAGAGGGAGATGCTCTAGTTTTGTCAGGCATTTCTCATCACCAGGCCCTCCTAAGGAAAACACAGGACACTATTTTGTTTATTCTATTTATTGTTCAGTATGGGACACAGCAGAGGTAAGATGTCTCACAGGGGTCTAAGGTGACAGACTCCTTACTGATGGGCCTGAAGGATCCAACAGACTGATTCCCTTCTTCCTTCCCCCCTGCTGCAATGCAGAGAGAGGGGAGACAAGAGCCAGCGGGACTGTGAGCTCTAAGAGGTCAACAGGATCAATGGGCATGGGAGGATTTTGCCAATTCAACTCTGCTGAAAACAGGCTGCCACCAACAGAGCTCCAACATGGTGATGAGGGCTAGCAGCACACCTAGAACAATGACCGTGGAGGGGAAAAGCCTCAGAGGAGACCTCTGTACCGACACATGTGCAATGGAGGGTTCCTTGTTGCTTCCGTTTCTTGCTCCTAATCACAAGGGACTCCTTGTGATTCCAAGGGACTCCAGGCTGCTTCAGTGTTTTGCATTAATAATATCCACAAACTCTGGCTTGAGAGAAGCCCCTCCAACAAGGAAGCCATCCACATCGTGCTGAGAGGCCAGCTCCTTACAGTTGCCACCAGTGACCGAACCTACAGAGGAAGCAATGTTTTAAGACCAGTCCTAAATTTAAACACCAGGACAGAGGTGAAACTTGCAACTTGTTTCTGGGCTGCCTCTTGCTCTGCAGAGGGCAAAACTCATGCAGCTATCTCCCATTCACCCCACCGGTACTTTTTTTTCCTGCTTTGCCAATCTCAAGTTTCCTCCTCAGCAGAGCAGGCAGCGTGCTGCACAACGCTGCAGCAAGCAGAGAAACACAGTGCTCTGTGTATGCATGCGAAGGGGCAGCCTCGTTTACCTCCATAGATAATCCTAGTTGACTGAGCAACAGCATCGGACACRTGGCTTTTGAGCCATCCCCTCAGTTTCTCATGAACTTCCTGAGCCTGTGATTGAGGAAAAAAAAAACAAAACAAAAAGAGGCAGCCTGAGGATTATCGGTACAACACTCTTGCAGAGAGGAAATAGTCTGGTTCCATCTTCAAGCTGATGGATCTCTTAGGGGAAAGGGCCAGTTGTGTCGTACCTGCTGAGGAGTTGCGGTTTTACCAGTACCAATAGCCCAGACRGGCTCATAGGCAAGAACCACTTTACTCCAGTCCTTGACGTTATCTGCGGAAGACAGAGCAGGTTCAGGTCAGCACAGCGCCCCGGGCCGAGAAGAGCGGGGCTGTCCGAAACGGGCAGGCTGCTGCAAGCACCGTCACTGCCGCTGCTGCCAGCGCTCACACGCGCACGYGTGTTGCCTTCCGGAGGGGCTTGTTAAAGCCACAGTGACCATTTGCCAAATAGCCAAGAAGCGTCCGTCATCCTCCCTTACCAGCAATAGCTTTGGTCTGTTCAAAAACCACCTTCTCCGTGATGCCAGCTTCTCTCTCATCCAGCTTCTCTCCAATGCAGGCAATGACACCAAGGCCTTCAGCCAGAGCATGAGCCACCTTCTGTCCGATGAGCTGCGAACGGCAAGGGAAGCAAGACGAGTGAGAGCGCAGCCCCTGCCGCCTGCGCGGGCCGTCTGAGCCGGGCCATCGCGCTTGCCCAGCGTCACCCACCTCATCGGACTCTCCAAAAACGTGTCTCCGCTCCGAGTGGCCCAGGATCACCCATGTGGCTCCAATATCCTTGATCATGGCTGGGCTGGGGAAGGAAGGAAATCGTGGTATTTGCTTATACTTCCAGGAGGAATTCGCGTCCTAGGAGTCCCCCGGCTTCGCTTTTGGCCTCACCTGATCTCGCCTGTAAAAGCTCCCTTGGGCACCTTGTAACAGTTTTGTGCCGCGACACCAATCTTTGCGTCGAGCTTCTGACGGGCAAAGTCAAGGTAGATGGCGGGGGCCCCACACACCACCTCTGAAAAGCAGAGCGGGGAGAGAGGGAAAAAAAGGAAGTAAAGGAAGTTAAGCTCGAGGAGGTGCAGGGGCAGGAAGTGCTCCCGGGCACGGACCCTGCCGCCCAGCGCGAGGGTCACGCTCGCGCCCCAGCGATCCTGCCTGCCCTTGCTGACATTTTGGGGGCCCTCCACGCGGGAGGGCAATTCCTGCTCTCAGCTATCTGATGACTCGACAGCTCCGAGGAAACCCTTTCTCGGGACAGCCACAGAGGTGAGCTCGGGCACACAGCCAGGCCCCCAGCCGCTCCACAGAGGTCCCTTGGAAGGAGCCCAGCTGAGAAACCGGGCAGGAATTCTGCCCTGTTGCYGAGGCTTCCCTGAACCGGGAGAGAAAAGGGCAGCATCGGGTTACACGTGGGATCATACCCGGGCCTAGCAGCAAGTGACCCCCCTGTAGCCTGGCCGGCTGGCTCAGGCCCAGCGTGACCTCCCGTGCAGGGCGCCACCGGGCTCTCGGGGAGCCCGCCAGCAGCGGC